AAAAAAAAAAAAAAGGCTCATGGATTTTCCTGCCCAGGCTGGCTTAGAACTGCAATCCTCAGATCTCAGCCTCCTGAGTACCTAGGATTACAGGTGTGAGCCACCAGTGCCCAGCTTCTCCCAAGTTTTGTAATGAGTGATTTTGATTTCTTATACATATTTTATATATCTCATGTTCTCTATAATGAACTTAAGAACTCCGGAGGGGGTGGTGGGGAAGCATCTGTGAATAGGGGATGACAGGACCAAACACAGCAGAAATGACCACTGAGCGGAGTCTCAAAGGGTTAAATCCCCCGCAGGTTTGCTTCTCGAGATTGGACAGTCACCCAGTGCTTGGAGGTGGGGAAGCGTCCTGAGAAATGTATCAGGAGGTAAATTTGCTAAGCAAACCAAGGCGGCTGTGGCATCACTAGGTGATAGTCTCGCTGTATGCAGTCTGTTCATCGAGGACCCATAGGCATCTACATATGTGCCAGAACTAGAAGGCTGAGGTCAGAGGTTACCAGGCCACAGGGCTATGGCTGGGTTGATTTTATGGGTGAGGCTCATTGGCTTTTTACCATGTCATACTGGGTCTGACTGTGGAGGGAAGGTAGCATGTCTAACTTTGACCCAGGTCACTAATTCTCACCCTGAGGGAGAGAGCTTGGACCTGCTGTCATCAGAGAGCTTGAGGAATTGTCAATTCCAGGTGCTAGCTCCTTTGTGGAGAGCTCTGGTCCCCTGGCATGGTCCCTGCCCTGGTGTGGCCCCAATCTGACCGCCGAGGAGTTACTGATGGTGCAAGACTTGAAGCCAGAGCTGGGCACTGGTGGCTCATGTCTGTCATCCCAGCTACTCAGGTGGCTAAGATCTGAGGATCCTGGCTCAAAGCCAGACTCTTATTTCTAATTAACCACCAAAAAAGCCAGAGGGGAAGGCGTGGCTCAAGTGGTAGAGTGCCAGCCTTGAGTGAAAAAGCCAAGTGAGAGTGTAAGGTCCTGAGTTCAAGCTCCAGTGCCTAAATACACACACATGCACACACACACTTCAAGCTTGGAGAAGCAGGGGGTCAGGGGTGCCCTATTCTTTGTAGCAGTTGAGAACAGAAACAGACCTCAAAGGCCACTGGGAAAACAAGTGTCTCTGCCCAGCGAAAAAGGATCTCTTCCTTCTGGAACATTTTGAAATGGTCTGACTGTTCTGGTTGAGGTGTCCTAAGTGTTTGAGAGAGTGACTGCAGGCTCCTGTCCTCTCCCCAGGGTGCTGGCTGCTGGAGCACACCACCTCCGTATTTTCTGCCCCCCCCGCCCCCCCCAAGGCTCAGTGACTGCCACTACAACTCCAGTTTCCCATAATGCTGTCTGAGCCCCTCAGAAACTTTTGCTTTCCAGCACAAACAAGTCTCAGAGGCCTTGGTGCCAATGTGTCTCCTCAGGGTGGGGCTGGAGGCCCAACTCTGCCCCGCCGAGCAGTTGCCTAGCACTTAGTGAGGTGCACAGATTTAATTTTCCTTTCAAGCTCCCGGCTGAACTTAGCTGAACTTCAGGCTTCCAGCAAAGCCAGTGCATGAGAAAGCCTACCATGTCACTGCTGTTGGTGAACTTGAACTTGGAGGTCTTGGACCTCACTCTGATCCCCAGAGGGGCAGTGGAGGGGAGGGGATGGAGGCAGGTGCCCTGGACCCCTCTTTCTGATGCAGACTTGGTTTTGCCTTGCAGCCCACAAATGCATGGAAAGGAAGCCTCTCCGAAAAGCCCTGTGTGCTGCCCAGAGAGGCCAGACAGGGCCCCAGAGCCCCCAGACCACAGGTGAGCTGCCCCCTTCCCCCCCCAGCCAGAGATGCTCAGGGGGCCTTAATGGGGAGTCCAACAGCAATGCTGCCTGAGCCTCTTCCTCCCTCCCCACCAGCCTGTCCGAGTGCACTGGGACCTTGCAGAAGCCAGGCTTCTCAGGTTACCAGCCGCCTCCCTGCCCACCTGCCCTGGGGCCAACCTGGCCAGGGCAAAGGTTTGCATTTGGGTGCCACCCCCTACCTACTTGATTCTAGCCTTCAGCCTCAGTCAGGTCAGGTGAATGTGTTGAACTCCTGGAGTGAGCAAGCAAGCAGCCTAGCCGAGCAGCAGGCCGCTGGAGGAGGCCACAAGCCTGGCAGGCCTGCTGGCATCATGGCCCATGGCCCAGCCCCGGAGCTGTGAGTTTGATGCCTCCATCTCACCTATCTACCCCCATTCCCCCACAGCCTGCTCTTCCTGGAGCCAGGCATTAGGCTGGGGGGCAACCTGTTCCTGGGGGGAACAGGTGCTCAGCTCATACCTCCAGTGTCCTTCCCTTAATCCAGGAGTATCATTTCCCAAGGATGAGCTTTGTGCTCCTTAGTTGGCCGTGTTTCCCCCTCCCCCTCCCTCTCCCCCACCACATACACCAGAAGGCTTTGCTCCAATCTCTGCCCCAAGCTGCTGGCTCAAAGCCAGGGTAGAAGTGGCCCAGAGGACTGCACGGGCAGGACTCAAGGGTTCCTTGTGTGTGGAATGGGACGTTTCCTTTGCAGTCTGCACTGGCCAGAAAGCTTGAAGGGCGAAGAGATAAAGAAGCAGGGCCGGGAAGGGGTGAGTGTGCATGCGCACCAGGGGTTGCCCTGGGCTGCTGGTTTCAACCAGGGCTCCTTGGCTACCAGGCTTGTGGCAAGGAACCCAGGAGACCTGAGTGGGTGTTCCTGTTTGGGAAGGAGGGGTGACTCTCCTCCAGGGCTGCCTGGCATCACCCAGTACTACCAGGAACCTGGGCCTGAGCCCCTTCTAGATGCCCATGTTGTGCCCCATCCCCGGGGCTTTGGGGGGGTGGTATTATTTCTGGTCCTTTTAACAATCTGCTCTCCTGCAGCTCAGACTGGTTTCTTGTGTTTGCAGACACTGCTGAGTAAGTACAACCAGCAGTACCACAAGCTGTTCAGGGATGTCCCTTTGGAAGAGATGGTCCTTAAAGGTGAGTGGCTCAGGCTGGGAAGGTGGCTCAGTGGTAGAGCGCTTGCCTTGCATGCATGAGGTCCTGGGTTCAATTCCTCAGCACCACATAAGCAGAAAAAGCTGGAAGTGGCACTGTGGCTCAAGTGGTAGAGCGCTAGCCTTGAGCTGAAGAGCCGAGGGGCAGCACTCAGGCCCAGAGTTCAAGCCCCATGACCAAACAAGAAAGAAAGAAAAAAGTGAGTGACTCTGCTCAGAAGCCCCATGGTTTGTTTTATTTTTATGCTAGTGCCAGGATCTGAACTCAGGGCCTCCCTGTTCTCATTGAGTTTTTCTACTCAAAGCTGGTGCTCTACCACTTGAGCCACACTTCCCCTTAGGGGTTTTGTGGTGAGTAATTGGAGTGAAGACTCTCAGGAAATTTCCTTCTTGGGCTGGCTTTGAACTTTGATCCTCAGACCTCAGCCTCCTGAACAGCTAGGATGACATTGGCATCTGGCTAAGCGGTTCATCCTGAGCTAGCTAAAGTCCAAGCTTGGAGACCTGAGCAGGGGGGAATCTGCCAGGGCTTTGGGGCACCTCTGGGAGCCTGGGGGGCTGCAGTCAGGATGGTCAGGAGTGGAAGCTTGGATCTGGGATGAGGACAGGAGGGTCAGGACATCGAGTGCTAGGGCTGGGCCTGGTGAACATGAGGACCGGTTCCCAGGGTGATCTCTCACCATGGTCTCTCCTCCTGCGCCTGCCAGTGTGTTCCTGCGCCCTCCAGAGGGACCTCCTTCTCCACGGCCGTCTCTACATCTCCCCCAACTGGCTGTGCTTCCATGCCAGCCTCTTTGGCAAGGATGTGAAGGTAGTGATGGGGGTGAGCGCTACAGGGGCTGGGGGTGGCGTGGAGAAGCCCCAGCCTTGTGCCCTGTGGGCAGCCTGCCAGGCCTGCCTTCCCTCCGCATGCTAGGGACACGCTAAGCCTCCCATGGGTTGAGGGAGTAGCATCAAGATTTCCTATCTGGTATCTGGAACGTCATCCTTCCCTCTTCTAAACTCGGGGACCCCCTGGGAAGCCATTGGTGTAGCCCCGAGCTAGTTCAGAGCCCCCCCTCTTCCCACTATCTGAGTGGACTTCGCCTGAGGTCTCCTGGATAGCTGGGCTTATACCTGTGTGAGGATCTGGGGTGTCACATGCAGCCAGGGGCAGGGGGCATGGTGGGAGGGGGTCCTGGAGGAGACCCCTTCACGGCCAGGCTTCTGCAGGCATTACTCATGCCTGGCTTAGTGCCAGTCCTGGCTGGGGCCTGTGCAGGTACGACGGGAGCTCTGTGGTTGGGGGTGAAATGTGTGTGTCCCCAAAGGTGGCCATTCCTGTGGTGTCTGTACAAACCATCAAAAAGCACAAGATGGCCCGGCTCCTCCCCAATGGACTGGCTGTCACCACCAACACCAGCCAGAAGGTCAGCGAGTGACCGGTACTTCTGTCTGTCTCCCCACTCCCACTTCCCAAGGGGACATCATAGGCCTGTGAGAAGCTGGGGGCCGGGAATTCCTACCCGGGGGGGGTGGTTCTTACAGCCCCACACCTCCAGACAGGCTGCACTCCCCCTGCCCCACCCACCATGGCGACAGAGTAGCAAGCACCCCATGTCACCCTCCTCCCTGTTGCTTGCTCTCCCATGTCCCAGTACGTCTTCGTGTCGCTGCTCTCCCGGGACAGTGTGTACGACATGCTAAGGAGGGTCTGCACTCACCTACAGGTATGGGGCCTGAGGGGCAGGAGCTGGCCAGGGAGGTGGCTGAATGCTGGACCTGGGTCTTGGGGCGGGCGGTGAAGGAGATTTGGTGTTTCTCCCCAGTACGGGGCAAAGGAGCAGAGTGTGAATTTGGATGGCGTCTGGGAGCATGGCCCTTTGAGCTCCGTGGGCCCTGAGCTCCCCACGCCTGCACAGGTTCTCACTTTTGCTTCCTTAATGCATAAATTGGAGCATGTGGCTGGGGCCTAAAGTGGGGAAGAAGCGGAGCAGGAGTCAACAGCATGGGAGTCCAAGGAGGCCCATAGCCCTAGTCGGGCACGCTGGCTCACACCTGTCATCCTAACTACTCAGGAGGCTGAGGTCTGAGGATCAAGTTTTCAAGCCAGTCCAGGCAGGAAAGTTCTTGAGACTCTTCTCTCCAATTAAGCACCAAAAAAGGGGGGGAAAAAAGAAAAAGAAAAAAAAAAAGCTCAAAGTGGAACTGTGGCTCAGGTGGTAGAATGCTAAGTCCCCGGACGTCCCCCCTCCCCATTCAACGTCTGGGATCCAGCCTTCACTTGATAACAAGTGACTTAGTTGCAGGGAAAGTCATGTTGGAGGGTCAGGGAGCCCCCAGCCCTGATCTTGTCTTTCCCTTCCTCCATAGCCTTCCAGCAAGAAGAGTCTGAGTGTACGAAAATTCCCGCAAGAACCTGAGTGCCAGTCTCTGGTGAGAACTGAGCTCTGCTAAGATCAAGTACTGAGTACTGGAAACACCAAGGCTTCAGGGCCTCCCAGCAGGGGTCCCGAGGCAGAACTGAGGCCCTGGGCTGCACAGACAGCACCACACTCTGCCACGGGGGCGGGGGGGGGGTGCCCTGGACACCGTGCCATGCAGAGCTGTGTAGATCCTTAGCAGCTGTGCCAATGCTCTGAGCACAACAGAAATCCAGTTCCCAGGGCCTCGCCTGGGGTGCGTCTCATGCCGATAGGCGTGTGGGATCAGCCAGCCTTCCTTTGGTGGAGGAAGGAGAGAATGCTCTGGAGGCCATGACTGTACAATCAGATCTACATTTGCCAAGGTTCCAGTAATTTCTGTTGGCAGCAGGGGCTCTGAAGAGGCAGAGCTAAGTTTCTAGAGATAGGGGTGGGAATGGCCCCCGGGTTGAAGTGTGGTCAGGACTCACCAGCAGGAGAGAGAAGGTGCTGTTTTCGTGTGTGTGTGTGTGTGTGTGTGTGTGTGTGTTGATTTGCCATTAGATCTAATCTATTCCACTGGAGGCCGGCTGTGCCTCACTAGCATGGGCTCAGCCTAAGATCCCATGATGGTTCTTCCTGTGGGGGTCTTCAAAGGGCTCCAGAGGGGCTGATATCACAGCACAGGAGCAGATAAGACGTGTATGATTGCATGGTTTTTAATCCTCCCCCCTGTGTCTTGGCATCTGAATTGGCAGTCTCTGAAGAGAGCCTTGATAAGCCTGGCCTACTTAGGCTGGCTTAGGCAAGGGATGGGTCATATCACCACAAATTCTCCCGGCTTTTCTTCAGGAAGTCCTCATCCCAGAAATGAAGTGGAGGAAAGTGTGCCCTGCTTCCAGATCCCTGTCACTCCCAGACAACATCCCTCGGGCCTCCACCGACTCCACAGACAGCTGCTTCCCTTCCAGGAGCACTCCAGGGTCTGGTGAGTTCCAGCAGAGGTCAGAGTCTCTCCCAGCTCTGTAAAGGGACTCTTTGGTTCTTGTCTTTTGTACCAATCCTGGGGTTTGAACTCAGGACCTGGGTGCTGGGGCTGGTGCTCTACCACTTGAGTCTCCATCCAGCTTTCTGCTGGTTCACTGGAGATAAAAATCTCACAAACTTTTCTGCTCAGGTTAGCTTCAAGCCTCGATCCTCAGATCTCAGCCTCCTAAGTAGCTAGGATAACAGGCGTGAGCCACCAGCTCCTGGCTTAGTGCTCTTAAGAGTCAAGACCCAAGCAACTTCAGGGAGGGGAAAGGAGGGTCCTGCCTGCCCTGGGAAGATACTTAGCTGCTCTCCTCTTGCAGAGGACTCCATCTTTGAGAACGATGAGCTGCGGGAGGAGTCCACAGACGACCAGGCGCTGAGACTCTGGGATTCCCGGCTTCTCAAAGTCGTCTTTGTCATGTAGGTGACAATTATGATAGGAGGAGGGCAGACTGGGGGAGGGGAGGGAGGCATGGAGGAGGGGGGAAGAGGGGGGGGTGGGGAGTGGGTATTGCCTGGAGACCCCTAAGTTTGCCCAGGGTTGGGGAGGGAGGGGACTGGCAGAATTGGAGCAGGCCATCTGGTAGCTAGTGAGAAACCATAGTGAGCAGTTCCCAGAACCTGTGGCTTATCTCTGCCTGTTGCTTTGCTCCATTAAAAAAAAAAATGCGCCAGTGGCTCATACCTGTCATCCTAGCTACTTAGGAGGCTGAGATCTGAAGATTGTGGTTCAAAGCCAGCCCAGCCAGGAAAGTTCGTGAGACTCATATATCCAATAAACCACTCAGAGAACCAGAAGTGGCACTGTGGCTCAGGTTCAAGTGGTAGAGCGCTCGCCTTGAGCTGAAAAGCTGAGGGACAGCGCCCAGGCCCAGAGTTCAAGCCCCATCAACAACAAAAAAATGCTTTTTCACTCAAGTCTAGTGATCTACTTTGAGCCACGTTGCTACTTCTGCTTTTTTTTTTTTTTTGACAGTATCTTGCTATATAACCCAGATTGGCCTTGAACTCACATCTTTCTTTCTTTTTTTTTTGCCCTGGTCATAGGGCCTGAACTCTGGGACTGGGCGCTGTCCCTCAGCTCTTCAGCCCAAGGCTAGTGCTCTACAACTGGAGCCATAGTGCCATTGTTGGCTTTTTCTGCTTATGTAGTACTGAGAAATTGAACCCAGGGCCTCATGCATGCAAGGCAAACACTCTACCACTGAGCCACTTTCCCAGCCTGTGTCCCTGAGCTTTTTTGCTCAAGGCTAGCACTCTACCACTTGAGCCACAGCACCATTTCTGGCTTTTTGGTGGTTCGTTGGAGGTAAGAGTCTCAAAGACTTTCCTGCCCAACTAGCTTAGAACTGGGATCCTCAGATGTCAGCCTCCTGAATAGCTAGGACTATTGGAATGAGCTACTGGTGTGCAGCTAGAGGGATTTTAATGGCAGGAAAGACAGAGGTGGCTGGTCAGAGGCAAAATAGTTGTATGTTCCAGGGCTCAGAGGAAGGGCCCAGGATTCCTATGGGGCTGTGGGGATGTTTCCATGGGAACACATCTCAGGACAGGATCCCCATGGGACCTTTAGGAAGACTGATGCCCAGGCTCGAACATGGCTGCAATGTAGACTCTAAATTCCTCCAAATTCAGGCACAACTCAGTTCCCACTTCTATTTCTGCTTAGACCCCAAGTTCTTCGTAGAAGAAAGATTTACCTCCTGGCAGGGTGTGGTGGTCCATACCTGTAATCCCAACCTTGGAAGAGTCTGAGGTAGAAGGATCGTTCACAAGTTCCAGGCCAGCCTGTGCTACTCAGTTGAGACCCTGTGTGAAAAAACAAACAAAACACCATAACATGAAGGGTTCTGGTGCTCATACCTGTCATCCTAGCTACTCAAGAAGCTGAGATCTGAGGATTATAGTTCGAAGCCAGCCCAGGCAGGAATGTCCGTCAGACTCTTATCTCCAATGAAGCACAAAAAATGCTGGAAGTAGAGCTGTGGCTCAAGTGATCGAACACTAGCTTTAAGCAAAAGAGCTCAGGGACAGTGCCCAGGCCCTGAGTTCAAGTGCCAGAACCAGCACAAAACCAAAACCCTTCTAACAGCCTAAGCCCCTTCTTGCCCCTGTCCTATCAGGATCTGCCTGCTGGTTGTGTCTTCATCGTACTTGGCATTCCGCATCTCCCGGCTAGAAGAGCAGCTGTGCTCTTTGAACTGGGATGGGCCGGTCCCTGGGCACAGGTGAGGCCTTTTGGACTTGAGGCTGTTTGTCACCATGGCTGGACCTGACCCTGTTTGGGGGCTGGGGTGAGGATCCTAAGCATGGCTGGGCATGTGTCTAGGCACAATGAGCCCACCCAGGGGAAGGAAGACTACACTGTCTCTTCTCCTGTGTGCACTTGCCTTCTGGATTTTTCTCTGATCTGAGCATCTTTCCTGTGTGTAGGTAACAGTGGCATGGCCTTTGTCCCCACACTGTCTCCAAGAAGAACATTCTGGGTGCTAAGTCTTGCTGCTCCTATGCTGCAACAGAGTATGAGGAAAATATTCTAGATCCTTCCTCCTCCTCGTCTTCCCAGCTCTTCAAGATCCATCCCTTAATAAGTGATCTCAAGTACCCGTTTACAAATGAACTGGCTTCTACAACTGCTGGACTTCAAAAAAAAAAAAAAGATAGATGTTTGGGACCAGCTGAGGAATTCTGCACCAAGTTTCAGCTACCACTTAAATGAGAGAAAATAAAAAGTAGAAATGAGGGCTGGGAAGGTAGCTTAGTGGTAGAATGCAGGAGGCCCTGGGTTCGATTCCTCAGTACCACATACACAGAAAAGGCCAGAAGTGGCTCTGTGGCTCAAGTGGTAGAGTGCTAGCCTTGAGCAAAAAGAAGCTTAGGGACAGTGCCCGGGCCCCATGTTCAAGCCCCAGGACTGACTAACGGGGGAGGAGGGGAGTAGAAATGCACCTGTTCTTTGGAACAACCTGGCACACAGGCAGAGCCCTGGGGGCCCCTCATGGGTGAAGGCCATGTTTCGATACCTGTGAGGGAGTTCAGAGCCCTTGGGGGACAGAGGGTGGGAGGGATGGACAGAGTCCAGAACCTGAATTGCCTGTCCCTCATGCACTGTGCTCTTGGCAGGCCTTGGGGACGCGTTGTTCTGGAGCCCATGGGCTGGGGCTGTTGACTGCATGGAGGGCAAGCTCAGGGTTAGGACTCCAGCAAGAGATGAATCTGTGTGTGTGTGTGTGTGTGTGTGTGGTAGGACTCCAGCAAGAGATGAATCTCTGTGTGTGTGTGTGTGTGGTAGGACTCCAGCAAGAGATGAATCTGTGTGTGTGTGTGTGTGTACTGGGGCTTGAACTCAGGGCCTGGTGCTATTGCTTAGTTTTTTCTGCTCAAGGCTGGTACTCTGCCACTTGAGCCACACCCCCATTTCTGCTTTTTGCTAGTCAACGGGACCTAAGATTCTCTCATCCGATTTGTCTGCCCAGCCTGGCTTCAAACCGTGATCCTCAAATCTCAGCCTCCTGAGTAGCTAGGATGACAGCCCCCAGCACCCAGCTTGGAAATGGCGTATATGTTGCAAAACTGTGGTTCTCCTGTTTATGACAAACCCAGATAAGACTGGATGGACTGACGGGTGGAAGGCAGCTCCTTGAGCTCGACCTCGCTTCTCTCATCCCACTTCCCAGGACTGAGCTTCGAGCTAGCACCAAATCTGTATATCTCAGGTGAAACTCGGCGCTCGCTTCCCTGCAGTGCCACTGGAATGAATACCTTTTTTTTTCCCCCCTCCCTCGTCACTCTTTACCATCATATTTTCAGGGACAGAATCACCTTGCCCCAGCGCCTCCCCTCCCTGGTCTTTGCTGAAAGGTAGGGAGAATAAATCCATTCTCTGAGCCTTGCTAGTTTGTGCCAGGAGGGCCATACGAGATGCCAGGTTCTGCGTGGATGTGCCAACAGGCTGGCAAACCTTCTCTCCAGCCAGAGCTCAGGCTCAGAGAGGGCAGGAGGTGAGCTACAGGGTGGGTGGCTTTGGAGATGTGTTTGTGTGTGTGTGTGTGTGTGCAGGGATTGTGCTGTGGGTGTGGAGCCTGAGCCCTTGCGGGGTCCCTTGTCTGTCTCTCCCTTGTTCCCCAGCCTCAGTCCCCCTGGGACCACTGTGTGTTCTGTTTTGCTAATTTATAACGATGAGTATTTATACATTCCTGCTTGCTGGTGGACATTTTGCCAGTTTGGTTCAGCTCCCCTCGGCTTGCTCCTTTGATATCAGCCTTTGAAAACATTCTAAATAAATAAAAAACTTGATTTTTTTTTCTCCCCTCTGGCAGTATGGAAAGTTCATGTATCCCTTGGCTACTTACTAAAGGTACTTTGACTCACAAGCTCATCATCCAGGAGAACCAATGGTGTCTTGAGTACTCTGCAAACCTCAAAGGACTTTCGGGGGCTGGGAAGGTGGCTTAGTGGTAGAGTGCTTGCCTAGCATGCATGAAGCCATGGGTTCGATTCCTCAGCACCACATAAACAGAAAAAGCCAGAAATGGCACTGTGGTAGAGTGCTAGCCTTGAGTAAAAGAAGCTCAGGGTCAGCACCCAGGCCCCGAGTTCAAGCCCCAGGATGGGGGGGGTGGGGAAGATGTGTGTGTGTATGTGTGTGTGCGCGCGCGCGTGTGCGGGTGCACACACGCGCATGCCTGTGTATGTGTTGGTCCTAGGCCGAACTCAGGGCTGAGTACTGCCCAAGTTTCTTTTGCTCAAGGCTAGTGTTCTAAAACTTTTAGCCACAGTACCACTTCTGACTTTTTCTGTTTATATGGTGCTGAGGAATTGAACCCAGGGCTTTGTGCATGCTAGGCAAGCACTCTACCATTAAGCCACACTCCCCGCCCTGACACTTCCAGTTTTCTGGTGGTTAATTGGAGATAAGAGTCTCATGGACTTTCCTGCCTGGACTGGCCTCAAACTGTGATTCTTAGATCTCAGCCTCCTGAGTAGCTAGGATGATAGGCATGAGCCACCAGTGTCCAGCCATCTTTCTGTTAGTTTATGGGAGGAAAAAGTCTCTCTGACTTTCCTGCCCTAGCTGGCTTTGAACTGTGATCCTCAGATCCCAGCCTCCAGAGTAGCTAGGATTACAGGGGTGAGCCACTGGTGCCTGGCATCCTCAAAGGACTTTTTCTGAGCTCACTTAAACTTCAGACACAGGAGAAGTGAGGGCCACAAAGCAACACAGCCTCCACTTCTATTGGCTGGACCCATGAGAATAGGTCCCCATTTCCCCCTGCCAATGCCAAAGCAGTGTTCCTGGCTCAAACTTGATCAGGAATTAACACATACAATTCAAAGCCAGAAAACTCCGAGGGCCTTTTCTATCACTTATAACCTAGGGAGCCCAAATTCTAATTTGGGTCCTAACACCTTTTTTCTTTCTGCTGACAATGTCCCCTCCTGCTATTTTATTCATTCAACAAAAATTATCGAGCCCAGACAATGTATTAGCTCCTATCTAGGCGTGTGTGTGTGTGTGAACATGTTATGTGTATGTGACCCCCAAACAATTTTATATCTCATGTAAGTTCCAATAAATTTGTAAACAAGGTATAGTTACCTTGTGATTGTGTTTGAAATTATGCTTAGATTCCATGAAGGAAAGAAACAGTGAAAGCCAGATGCTGGCGGGCTCACACCTGTAATCCCAGCTACTCAAGAGGCTGAGATCTGAGGATCATGGCTCAAAGCCAGCCCTGGCATCAAAATGTATGAGACCTGTTACCCAGTTAACCACCAAAAAGCTAGAAAGGGGAGCTGTGGCTAAAATGGTAGAGGACCAGCCTTGAATGAAAAAGCCAAGGAAAAGTCTTCAGGCCCTGAGTTCAAGCTTCAGTACCAACACACACACACACACACACACACACACACACACACACACACACACTCAGGCCCTGAGTTCAAGCTTCAGTACACACACACACAGGTGACATTGGCTCATACCTGTAATCATAGCTACTCAGGAGACTGAGATCTGAGGATAGCAGTTCAAAGTCCGCCCAGGCAGGAAAGTCTATGAGATGCTTATCTCCAATTATCCAAAAACCAGAAGTGGTAGAGCACTAGCATTGGGCAGTGCCCAAACCCCGAGTTCAAGTCCCACAACCAGCTTAGAGAAAAGGAGAGGGGGGGGGAAGGGAGAGGGAGAGAGATTTGGCTTTAATTAGAGAACTTTTGAGAAGGGTCTGAAGAATGAGGAATCAGTTCGGGGAGGAGCAGGGAAAGGAATTTCTGGGAGCCGGATCCCTATCTCCAGAGCTGGGGTGGGGGTGGAGCCTCTGAGGAACAGCACTTGTCTACATGACTCAGGGACCTTAAACCAGTGAGAGAGTGGCCTCCGGAGATCAATGCAACAACATACACCAACCACACACTCCAAAAAAAAAAAAAAAAAAAAACAGGAAAGGACTTCAATGGACATTTCTCTAAAAGGGAAAAACAGCTGGGCACCAGTGGCTTATACCTATAATCCTAGCTACTCAGGAGGCTGAGATCTGAGGTCGATGGTTTGAAGCCAGACCCGACAAGAAAGTCTGTGAGACTCATCTCCAATGAACCACCAAAAGGCTGGAAGTGGAGCTGTGGCTCAAGTGGTAGAGCATTAGCCTTGAGCAAAAAATCAAGGGAGAGCATTGCACATACACATAAAATTATAAAGTGGCTGGTGAGGTGGCTAGGCTCAGAAGAGTTCGGGTTTTCTATGTTCCTGGGATGGCACAGATTGGATCAAAAGGTTTGAGGCTGGTAGGGTGACTTAGTGGTTGCTAAAGCTAAGTGTTTCCCCTTTGACAGGAAATAAAACACCTGGATATGATAAAAATGGACACTAAGGATGATCTGAAGAACTTGGAGAAATCAAACTAAGGTCTTCAAAATATTCTCAGGCATGCAATTACTTTTCTTACATTCAAGTTGAAATAAGCTAACTCTTGTGTGTGAGTACGCATACTGGGTCTTGAACTCAGGGCCTGGGCACTGTCCCTGAGTTCTTTTTTGCTTAAGGCTGGTGCTCTACCACTTGAGTCACACCTCCACTTCCAGTGTTTTGTTTTTTAAGTGAATGGGAGAGTCCCTCAGATTTGTCTGCTTGGGTTGAATTTGAACCTTGATTCTCAGATCTCAGCCTCCTGAGTAGCTAGGATGACAAGCATGAGCCATTGGTGCCTGGCTTGAAATGAGCTAAGTTTAATAACTTAGCTCATTTCAAGGGTCCTGGGGAGTTCTAGCAAAAAGTCCTCTGGCGATTGAGCTCAGAGGGGACTTCAGCCCAGCGGGGAGGTTCTGGAAATAAGACACTCCCCACCTGTCCACAACCCCACACAGGCAGCCATGGCCCTCACAACTAGTTGCGGACCATCAGGACATCTGCTACAGGTGAGCTCCTGCAGCCCATTTCCATGCTGCAATCCATTCCTAGCAGCTGGGGCTCAGAGCCTAGGAGAGAAACTTCTCTGGCTTTGCCTCAATCCTTAGTCTTGGCTCTTTGAGGAAGAGATGGTAATTCTTCCACTAGGTGGCAGCAGAGTCCGGCAAGAAGATTTCCTTCTCTGCTGTCAAGAGACAGATCTGGGTGAAAACAGGCCCAGGCCTCTTCCAAGTCCAGCCAACTGCTTCCCAGGGGATGGACGTCAGCAGGCTCAGAGGCCGATCCTTTCCAATGAAGCAGCTCAAACCCTGAATTCTTTGGCTCCTCTGGTTCTCAGGTCTGATGGTGGGAAGGCTGGGTGAGCAGGCAGGGATGA